CATGCCCGCACACACATATATATGGTAGGCCTTACACCGATGAATTATATTTTGGTGAAAGTCAGCTGGTGCAGCAGACTGCAGGGTGGCAGGGGTCTCAGAGTGCAGGATGGTGAAGGCGACTGCGGCTGGGGCTTCCAGGGGCGTGGCAAGCAGCCCCAGAGCCTTCAGTTCTGGGGCTGCTTGCCACCCTGCAAGGAAGGGTGCAGAGTGCCTAAAGGGCAGAGATGGGAGGGAGATAGGCCGGTAGGGGGAGTTGGAGGCAGTCCCTTACCCTACTGAGGCTTGGGGTTGGGAGGGATCAAGCCCAGATTGGGGTGGGTCCTCAGCTAACAACCCGTGATTCTTGATTAATGACAGCAACTGGGACTTCTGAAATTGTGGTTCCTTAAGTGATGGAAATTCTGGTCCCAGTTGTGGTTGTAAATCAAGGACTACCTGTAATGTTTTGTCTGTTTCCTTTAATTCTTTGAAATGCCATAATCTATTTTTAAATCGTCAGTTGCATTGCAATGTTAATAGTGTTTGTTGCTATTAATATGCAAATAAGAGTTTATTGGCAGCACAGCATATCCAGAAAAAACTGCTATTAATGTTTAATGTTAGCAACAAATAAAACAAAATTTGGATTACCTAGAACCAACTATAATCTTCCAAGGTGCACATCTGCAACAGGGAGAGATCCTCAACATACAACATGCTTGAAGTTAAGCTAAATTTGTACTTTTATCTTTGTTGCAGAACTGTAAGATTCTAGAAGAAAGTTGAATTGTTGCTTAATCCAGCCTTTCAGATACAATACATCAACCTTCAACCATTTAATTTTAGAGTGTATTCCTGCATCTTAATCCCTTTTATTAAAACCATTTGGAAATGCAGGCAAACACAGGTCTAATTCTTATATTCTTGAATGAGAGTAGGAAACTCAAAGAAATGGGGTTGGCTGTGGATTGGCCGTTGTTCCTCCTCTTGGATATCCTGCACTTGGTTGTTGATCATAAAGACGGTAGGATTGACTGAAAACATGAGTGTGCGCGTGTAATAACTTCTTAATCTGTTGCTGACATAAACCTAATCAAATTGAGAAATAGGAAAAATGCAAGATTCATTGTTGTTCTAGCTAACCATTCCTCACATTAACCGGAACTCAGCTGTTCTCAGTCTTGGGGTTTCCGTGGCTTTGGTCTTCATCTGTTCTGCTAAGCCGTCAATTTTCATCTTGGAATTATCTTTCTGTTGCTCGGTTTAGATGGCTGGGTTGCTTAATCCTGTGCTGCATGGTGATCCTTATCCTGGTCTTCTTCTACCTGGGATTGTTATGTGGTACCTGTGGCTATGACAAAAATGCCACACCAACAACCAGAGGCTGCATCTCAAACACCGGAGGAAATTTCCTGATGGCGTGAGTGCTTGTCCCGTTAATCTTTCCCCAGGTTAAGAGAATTGCACTGAAGAAAGATATTTGGAAGACAAAATGCAAAAAAAAAGAAGAGGAAGAACTCTTGGGCTTTACTAGAATTTCCATTATGTTGTGAGAACTTTGGAGTTAAGGAAAATAGATGAAAAGCTTTAAAAAAGAATATAAGTGTAAATTGATTTTTAAACAAATAACAACAAACCCTTGAGAGAAAAGATTAAATTCCTAAACTCCTAAAATGATGACTGGAATACTGAGCCTTGAATCTCATTAAAAAATCTTCAGATTGATTCAGGTGTTTAGAATTGCACTTAATCTGAAATCAGAATTCTTGCTTATGGTAAAGGGTCCATGTTTTCTTTTTCATCGACAGTTTTTTAAATCAATGGGATTTGATTATATGGGATTATATGATTTTGTTCTTTTCTGAGGCATAGCACTGTTCCTATCAGCTGGAGGAATTAAACAATGCTTGTAATGGGATGACATTAAACTGGGAGTCATAAGAGAGAATTGAGAGCCAGGTTTGTTTTGGGCTTCTGATTCTTCCTTATTAGGAGAGAAATGAGCTGAGCATCCCATTTAGTACATTGTCCTAGGCAAACCAAGATGGGTTTCCTGGTTTGCTTATCTGTTTCTGTTGAGGCAAGGAAGAGTTGATGCACCAATATGATACTCTAAATGATTCCAGCTTAGCATCATCTGCGAACACAGCCAAAAAAAGCGGGCCTCGAAGATTTCTGTGTTTTAAAAGAAAAACTGTGAACGTGGTCAACAAATGGTTTGGAGGTATATGTGGTCCCCCAGTGCTTGGATTCAGCACTTGGATTGCTTTTAGTGAAAGGGGGAGTTGATTAAATACTCTAGGAGCGCTCATATTAATTGTCAAGCTTCACCCAGACCATCACTCAAATTCAAAGATAGCAGATTCATGGATTCAGCTTTTTGTTAAGCTAACTTTATTGCAAATATTAGAACAGCCATAATTAGAACAGAAAATAAGCAACTGGCAACTATAGATTCTGAGGTTCAAATCTGATATCTCTTTTTCCCCCTCCTCCCCAAACAGCTGAATATATCTCAGTGGGGGAGCATCTCAGTGGTTCTATACATTATTGTACTGAAACTGCCAGGATCATGACTTGTTCTTGTAGCTCTCACTTTGTGTGTATGTGTGCCTTCAAAGTTTGACTCCTGACAACCACCTGGACTAGTCCCTGCAGTTTTCTTGGCAAGATTTCTGGAGGTGGTTTGCCCTGGCCTTCTTCCTAGGGCTGAGAGGGACTGGCCCAAGGTCACCCAGTTGGCTTCATGCCTCAGGTGGGACTAGAACTCACAACCTCCTGGTTTCTAGCCTGGTGCCTTAACAGCTATACCAAACTGGCTCTCTAGTTCTTACGTTAACTGCATTTAATGAACTTTAATTAAACTAAACTGAAATGTAAATTAAATCAGGTATAGTTGTAGTGCCTGGCCCTACCTAAAGCCCAAAACAGTCATAAGCCCAGAAAAGGTGGCATATCCTAGACTTAAAATTATGTCGGTCTCGTAATTTGGTAACCATTCCAGTGGCTCATCCATGAAGAGGCCTCACTGATAGGCAAGAGTAGAAGAAGCATCTCATTAAATGGAGTTAAATGGAATTCTTTAGTGGATTCACTGAAAGGGGAGAATCAAGCTTATTTTTGTATGTAAGATAAGCCCTTTAACAATCTTTTGATGAAGCCACCTATTCGAAGAAGAAACTTTTAAAAAATCATTTAGGGAATTGTAAACTACAAAAAAGTGCTTCTTTGAGTATACAAGTTATGCTACACACTTACAGTTCCTTAAAAAGCAGGCCTTTCAAAATTCACCTGAGTTTTGAACACAGAGAGACACCCTTTGAACACTTTCTCAGAAAATAGGGAGGTGCTCCATCTCAGAAAGATAGAACTCGTGGGAGAAATGCTAAAGCTGAGATTCTTAGATTTAGATTCTTAGATTAGAAAGACTTAGATTCTTCCTCGTATTTGAGAAGTTTTCCATTCTGTCCTGCTCCTGTTTTCACAGATTCTCAGCACAGCTAGTTCAGCTCTGCGTGGTTCCCTCTCCTGTACTTACAGACTTATTTTTCACCTGGAAAATCACTGCATACTTAGCAGTTGATAAATATTCTTACATTTGTTTTCCTTAGGCTAAATTGGCTGTTAAAATACATACAAGAGTTTGCATTGTTAAGCTGCCTTCTTTTTCTTGCCCCCCCCACCACCAGTGGGGTTACTTTCAGTTTCCTCTTCTCCTGGGTCCTGATGCTGACAGTGGTGGCCACTTTTATTACTGGTGGAAACATGGAGAAGCTCATCTGTGAATCATTTGACGACAAGACTTTATTCCAGGTAGGGCATTCTATAGGATTTCCATGTCTTTCCCCATAATTTAAATCTTTGCCATGCATTTGTAAAATGTTCAGAATACTGCATAAAATGTTCTACATGTTCATTCAACACATCAGGCCATAATTTGACTTTGCTGTGAATGAGCAGTGTTCAGTCTCTGGTTTCTTACACAAAAGGCACAGCTAGAAAACGGCAGTGGCTTCATCATAGTTTAGTGTTATCATCTGAGCCAGGGACTCTGCCTCGTTCCTTTTTGGAAAGCACAAAACCAGGTCATTAACTGCATCCTCTTGCTTCTTTCCTTGGCTTGTTCTGTGCGAGGAATGAACACAAGTTTCTGATTCAGAAATGTAACCAAGCCACAGCTGGAAAACATCTGTGGTTTGTTAGCTGTGTCTGTCCACAGACCAGCAGGTAGGAAATGACAGCATGCCCTAACATATGATTTATTGGGGTGCCAAGTCTTCCATGCTTGGGGTGGCATGGAAGACAGTCATTTTATATTGTATTTTAATTGATTTTATCGTCTCTGTAAACTGCTCAGAGTCATTTTTTAATGAGGTGGGCAGTGACAAATTTGATAGGTAGGTAGGTAGGTAGATACAGTGGGGCAAAAAAGTATTTAGTCAGCCACCAATTGTGCAAGTTCTCCCACT